GCTTTCAGAGAATCCATTTCGTTTCAATTTGGCGTGGTGAATAGGTAAGCACTTCTTTCAAGATCAAAAAGCCAATACATTCTGCCTTGAACCAGCAAAAACGTGAAAAGCAAACTTTTACATTTTATATTAAACCAAAAACGTGAAAGAGCTACAAAGTTTTAGCCAATTCTGATTTCAACCAAAACGCAGTATCATTTTTTCGTTCACCAATTCAATGCTAGCCAACATTTCAATTTCAAGAGCTACCAAGTTCGATTATGAATTTCGAGAGTTTCAAAGCAGAGTTTCGCCCATATTTCGCAGAAGCAGATTCGTTCAAATAATTTCGGGAACAGGTATGTTAAGGCACTTCCTTCTTTCTTTTGGCATGATCTAATGTGAAATGAATACGTTATTTCATAATGAATCTAATCCTAGCAACTAAGGTTGTCATGTTGTTCTTTCGCGTACAAAGTTATTCTAAAGAAAGTATGTATACTGTAAGTCCTAGTGAAGTTTATATGAAGGGTATGTATGTCCATAATGTTTCTTAAGTCACTCTAAGAGGTTTAGAACGTGATTCCATGAGTCGAGCATGCATTATATATATGTATCTATTTTACTCTACCGAGCCGCGCTATAGTCGGTCGGGTACGGCACCTATTGTGCAACCACTGATCAGTTGGGTTTACCGAGCTCCACGTGGTTGGGTATGATTCTACCGAGCCTTATGATGGCCGGGTAACGTTTTTACCGAGTCCTCTTTGAAGACCGGGTAACGATATGATGATGATGATGCCCACAGAGGCGTATGTTTTTAAAGTTTATGTATAATATATGTATTATGCATTTCATGTCAGTAGCCCCAGAGGCACTCAGATGTTACAGGTTGTACCTCCTCTATCTCTCTTTACATTACTATTCTTGTTTTATGCTTTCCTGCTTACATACTCGGTACTTTATTTGTACTGACGTCCCTTGCGCCTGGGGACGCTGTGTTTCATGCCCGCAGGTCCCGATAGACAGGTTGAGAGCCCTCCAAGTAGGCTATCAGCTCAGCGGAAGATTTGTCGCTCCATTTGCTTCGGAGTTGCTTGTTTGGTTAGTATGATTTAGACGTATATTGTTTGGTATGGCGGGACTCTGTCCCGACCTTTATGATATTTATGTACTCTTAGAGGCTTGTAGACATATGTCGTGTACGTGAAAGATTGTACGGCCTTGTCGGCCTATGTTTTGAGTTTATAAAGGATCATGTTGGCCTATTAGGCCCATATGTCATGTATATATGATGATGTAATAAGAAAGATACGTTACGTTAGAACTCGGTTGAGTAAGGTACCGGGTGCCCGTCGTGGCCCATCGATTTGGGTCGTGACATGATATTGAAGGAACTCAAGAAACTCATCCGAAACCAAGATTGTTGGACTAGAAGTTGTATCATTATTTTCTCCTTGCTTACTATTTGTAGTCATCCTATTTCCAACTAATAAAACTCACAGTATCAAAATAAGTGACGGAGAATCCAACAGAAAGACCTAAACAGAAAGCAGAAATCAGACAATACTTGAAAAAGACAGTATCCAGCGCAATCAAAAATCTGAGAATAGCCAAACTCAAAGTTGCACTCAATAAGACAATTTTTGAAATCTAACCAAGCTTCAAATAACCTTCAAGAGACAATATATATATATATATATATATATATATATATATATATATATATATGTGTGTGTGTGTGTGTGTGTGTGTGTGTGTGTGTGTGTGTGTGGATCGGATTGCACGCCGCAACAGGCCTTATAGCAACAATCCAATTCACTGTTGCACTTGTAGAAAACCTCAACCAATTCCCAGAATCAAAAGAACAATCAGCAACTAATAAAAAAAATTCAAACCTGACCAAAAGGAATGTTCACAGATTCACGTTTCAAGGTTCTTCTTCTCCAAAATGTGGTCCAATCACCACATGACCACCACAATTCAACCAAAACTTCGAGGCAAAGTCGTAACGGTAAGCTAGACCAAGATTGGTCCACGAACGCGCCTCTACACGTAGCTTAAACAGAAGTATCTCCGGCAGTTACGTCGGCGCGTAAGACACACGTGTTTCTCCTCGGACCACCAGATTTTGGGGTCTTGTAGATGGGGGGAGTTTCTGATCTAAGTCCGACAAAACAGGATACCCTGCTCTGATGCCATGTGTACGAAATGGAAAGAATAACTTGTGTTCTCATTCCAAGAAGTGAGCAATATAAATACATGTACATCGGGTGCTAACTAAGGAAAGAAATAAAAGAGATTCCTACAAATCTGCTATTTATGTACACTACTAAAAAAGAGTCTACATTCATTTTATAATAAGTGTCTAGATTCATTTTATAGCGCTTTTAAAGAACACCCATCCATTGAAAAGGATTTTAATTTGGCGCTATATTTCGGTGGTGTAACATCTAAATAATGTTGAATTACTTTTAAGGCCAAAAAAAACATATTTAAATGCACAGAAGTTGTCCTAATTAGTAGCCTCGTGAATGTTTTCCAAATTATGCATGAAACTGATTTCTCGTTTCCTTTTGACTAGTACTTTTTACCAGATAAAATGGATGAACGGATCAATATTGCAACAGTGGCAACCAATAACCTCTTACGACAACAACATATGCCCGTTGAAATCTCACAGGGTTTGGGGAGGAGGGGAGGATAGTATGTACACAAGTCTCTTTACTTTTTTAAAGATAGAGAGGTTATTTCCGACAGACTCTCGGCACAGAAAAACCGTAACCTCTTCTAATTGTAACACTATCATTTTAACACTTGGCTGGTAATTTGGTAATTTAATATGTAAATCCAATTGACTTAGTAGCAACGACAAAAATGATTTGTGATTTTGCCAAGACAAAAGTGGCCTTATACAGAGGGTGAAATTCAAAATTAGTCAGATTTGCAAGTGGTAATTGAAAAATAGCCACAGTTTAAAAAGTAATCGAAATTTAGCTACTTTTTATGTAAAAATAAATCTGAAAGAAAACACTGTTCAAAATCCAAAAAATATTCCAGCATAATATACTAGAAGTTCATACACAGGTGCACTCTCCAGTATATTACATACGTGTTTATCGGACGGGCTGGGACGGGTTGAACGAAAAAAAACCAGCCCGTCCATTATCGGACCGGGCTGGTTAGTGGGCTGGGATAACGGGCTGAGGGCGGGTTGAACTTTTTCGGGTTATTTTGGGCCCGTTCGGGTTCGGGCGAGCCTGGCTACTGTAATTTTTTTAAAAATTAAATTTTATTTTTCTTATTCAATGTTATTGATACTTAAGTGTTTACAAACTTTTAAGGCTTAGAATTAAACTTTGAAGTTTAGAGTTTAAAGTTTGAAATGTGTATTTTAAAATTATAAAATTGAAATTAGAAAGTAAGTGGCTACAAAAAATTATTTAATAAGACCAATAGGCAATATGTAAGGAACAAACTCTGAAGGCTTTAATTTTATATTTTTAATACTTCAAATTAATTTGCAAGTTCTTTTTTGATTTTTTTATTTTTGAACTTGCAAATTAAAAGTTTACAATAATTATAAAAAATAAGAAATAGTACATCACATATTTTGCATCATTTTTGTAAGTTCTTCCATGTCAACATGAGGTTCTTGGTTTCCGGCACTGGTTCAATCGGAACCATGAAGATGGGAAAAAATTGTACTTATAAATCGCAAGTGCTACATTTATTTTAAAATTATAAAATTAAAGTTTGCATTTAACAAGTAAATTAACGAAAAAAGAGTAAAACTAAATTTTCATGCATAATAATACTTCAAATTAATCTAACAAACTAAAACATTAAGCATAAATACGTCTAATAATTTTAAAATAACACAAATTATCTCAAATCAACTTAAATACGAAATTCTGGAGAACGCTCAAGACAGCTCTTCCTATGCCTCCTTAAAGAGCCTGTGCCACACTTTGGACGAAGATTTAAGACTAGACCACAATTATTGCACTTTACTTTCTGAACTTCTTCATTTTCTTCTACCACCTCAAAGTGTTCCCAAACATATGAGCCCACTCTAGAGATGAATTTGAGAAATGAGAGATAGTAAAGAAATGAAGAAGAGGGGGGGGGGGGTGTATTTATAGTTTTTCAAAGGGCTAATTGATAGACCGAAACTTGATAGTTGATACTTGATAGTACTTGATACCATACTTCACTTGAATACTTGATATTTGATAACAATAATTTTGTAATGGCTAAACTAAATAATTGATGAAACTTGAAATAATAAGTAATTGAGAATTTGAGATTTGAGAATTTAAGAACAATAATATCAAGAGAGAATTGAGAGAGAATTAGAGTAGTAAGAGAGTGAATTGTGAGAAAAAATGAAGAAGAACGGGGGCTATTTATAGGTTTTAAAAGGTTAAAAATGTAATTTTTTAATTATTAGGGGTGGGAGGGCTATATTTTTAATGGGGGAGGCCGAAATGCTCATTTCAGCAAAATCTGGTTGTTCCCCAACAGTCATTTCTGAATTTGACTGTTGGCAACTGTCCAAAAAATTAAAAAAAAAAAATTATAACGGATACCGGGCTGAAACGGGCTGCAGTCCGTTAACAACCCATTAACGGGTTAAAGGGCTTAGCGGGTTCGGTGCACCGGTATCCAAAATATGTTCATCCAAAACCCGCCCCCGACCAACCCGTCCCAGCCCGCTCATAAAGCTACAGTAACGGGCTAACCCGGGTTGAAGCGGGTTGAAAATGGGTCAGCCCGGTCCGATTAACACCTCTAGTATATTATGCTGTAACTTTTCGTGTTGCGATAAAATAGTGGCTATTTTTCAATGACCTTACAAATGCTAGTTATTTTTCAATTACAAATCCGAAAACTGACTAACCCGTGCTATTTTCACTTATACATAACATCATGGAAATGAACTAGGCCCAGTTTCCAACTTTTGTGGAAGCATCAGTTTGGCCCAAATAAAAATCTTACAAAAATCAGTTCCCAACCAATCTCGAGTACAAAAGCTTTCAAATGTGCTTCAAAGTTTAAGCTCCTTTATCCCTCCACAGACCTTTCATCTAATTCTTGAAACTATAATTTTAACGCCACCTTCATCATTCCATGATCAATTCAAGAATCAAACAAGCTAGCACAATTCCCTCAAAACTTAAAATTCACAACCTTGCACAATTCAGAACCAAATTTTTTCAATCCCAACCATACTACAGTCATCATCGTTCTCATAAACCCACCTCAAAATCCTCACCTGAAAGGCCTCATAAGCCTACAAAAAACCTTTTTCGCAAGCCAATACCACTACTTTCTGACCTCAAACAAATCCAAGATCCTGATGAAGCTATTTCACTGTTCCATGATTACCAGCAAACCGGGTTCAAACATGACTACCCTACTTATTCTTGTCTTATTTATAAGCTCGCTAAGTCTCGAGACTTTGAAGCTGTTGAAACCCTTCTTGGGTATTTAAAAACATATTATATTCGATGTCAAGAAAAGATTTTTATTGGATTAATTCAGCATTACGGGAAAGCCCAGTTGGTTGATAAAGCTATTGAGCTTTTTCACAACATGGGGTCATTTAATTGTACGCGTAGTGTACAGTCTTTTAATGCACTTTTAAATGTGCTTGTTGAAAATGGGCGTTTTGATGATGCAAATGAGATGTTAAGGAATTGTTCGAAAATGAGTATTTGGTTGAATGCTGTTTCGTTTAACATCATTATTAAGATGTGGTTGGAGAAGGGTGACTGGGAAATGGCACGCCAAGTGTTTGATGGTATGCTTGAAAGAGAAATTGAGCCGACTGTGGTGACTTACAATTGTCAAATTGGATTTTTGTGTAAGAAGGGGGATGTTGAAGGTGCTAAAAGTTTGTTTCAGGATATGGTTAGAAAGGGAAAGAAGCCAAATGCAGTTTCTTATGCTTTGTTGATGGAAGGTTTGAGTTCTTTGGGTAAGTACAAAGACGCCAAGAAGTTAATGTTTGATATGGAATACCAAGGATGTAAGCTAAAAATAGTTAATTATGGTGTTTTGATGACTGATCTTTTAAAACGAGGCGAAATTGGTGAAGCAAATAGTTTACTCGTGGAGATGAAAAAGAGGCACATTAAGCCCGATGTTGTGATCTATAACATGTTAATCAATTATTTCTGTAAGGAAGGTAAAACTGCTGAAGCGTATAGGATGTTAGTTGATATGCAAATTGCAGGTTGCAATCCTAACGCAGCTACATACAGGATGGTGGTTGATGGATTTTGTAAAACAGGAGAATTTGAGGAAGGTTTGAAGGTTTTGAATGCAATGTTGATAAGCGGGCATTTTCCGCGTATGGAAACAGTAAGGTGTATGATTCTTGGCCTGCTCGATAAAGAGAAGGTTGAAGATGCTTGCTTTGTTTTGGAGGAAATGGAGAAAAGGAAGAAAAGGTTTGACTTTGAGTCATGGGAAGCCATAGTCAAGGATGCTTGCAGCAATAGTATTGTTGTATATAGGCTCGTAGATGAGCTTGTATTTTAGCCATTGGACTTGTATGCTATTACTTCGGAAAATCTGTGAAATTGATCGTGCCCAGATCTGTTTTGTGCTCGTCTTGATGCTATCTCAGATGTCCTGTTGGAAAGAGCTATTGAGCAACCCTACTAATTGCATAATAATTCCCTTCCCCTTGCTTGCTTGTAGTCAGTTCCAGTGGCATGATATTTTACTTGGTTTGTGGAGCTGGGCATGCTTGATTGGAGCATTTGGTGTCTCCGGCTAAACCTCAATAATTATTGTTGGCTCTTATAAAAAGGAGTATGTAATTTCACCCCTTTTAAGATGGAGTAGTAGAAAAGAATACCATATACTTTTACCCCCAAAAGAAATACTATAATAGTTTCTACTATTTCGAAGCGGGAGTAAAGGGCCTCTTCGTCGTCCTGCTTGCCACTCGAAGGCAATTTAATAATTAATGCCTGACATATTAGGAGTTACTGTTAGTGCTTTGTAATATTAGTGTATCTACTTTGTTTTACTGCATAGATTGTTATTTTATTTCCACCATTTAAGGAGTTTGTTATTTTATTTTTCTTTCTTTCTGGTCTGTTAACTAGGCCTCTATAACTTGTTTGTGTATATATCATCAGCTCATCATCATTTAATAAAATCATCTTTTTTGTTTCATCTTGCTTATTCGTTATATGGTATTAGAGCGGTCTCCTTGACTCTCACGAGTTTTTTTTTTTTCCAATCCTCTGACTACACCACAGGCTCACACTTAAAATGGCCCCTAATGTAACAAATGTTGACTCCACTAGCAGCAACTCTAATGTTATTGTTCAGTTTAATCATGTATCGCATCTCCCGATAAAGCTCGTCGGAAGCCACAACTTTGCGACATGGAATTTTTATGAAAGCAAGCTGGAGAATGTCTCCCCTTGTTAGCACTAATTTCTTATCGCATTAAAATTAAAAGAAAAGAAAAAGGTGGATAAAGAAAAGGAAAAAAGAAGGGAAAATGCTGAAACAGGGACATATAATAATTAATGAGAAAAGAAGGGATCAACATGAAATTTCAATTAAAATAGTGATCAACCTGCAATTTCGACAAATACAGTGTCTCTTTGACTTGATGATACAGCGCTGCTCTCGGAACTCAGATGGCAAAAGGGTTGCAGCTATTCGTCAGCAGTACTCTCTCTCTCCCGATATTTCACACACAAAAACACAAATATTTATTGTATTTTATCTGTTGTTATTAATCGTGATTTATTTGTCTGCTGTTGTCTTTATTAAAACCCTAACACTGACGCATTCGATTTTTGTTCTTTTAAACAGGATTATCGTTTTACACTACGAATGAAAGATTGAAGAAGCTCTTTTCACCTTTTGGCGTTGTTACAGAAGGTTACTTCACCTTTTCTCATTTCTATATTCTGAAATCATTATTTTTTTCGTCTGAAATGTAATCTTATTTATCCTCAAAATAAGTAAGTGCGAAATTTAGGGTGTGTTTAGTATGACAGAAGTCATTTCCCAAGGAAATTTATGTCATGGAAAATATTTTTCAAAATATAGAGTATAATATAAAAAATTAATAAACAATCAGCAAATTGGAGAGTGTTCTGATGAAACTTTTGAGTACTAGAGATTATTAATGAAGTCTAGTGCTAGTTGAAGATAGTTGGTGGAAAAATGACTTCCGCCCATAAGTGAGGGAAGTCATTTTCCTCCTTTTGATTGAACTGTTTTCTATTTTCCCTCATACCAAACACGCCCTTTATCTGCTATACATGATTGCCCTATAACTATTTAAAATTGTGGAATTTGTACTTTGTGACGGATTTGTTAAATAGGTCTATAATTAATCTGGGATTGAGGCGTAGTTGATTTGATTGATTGATTTATATGAATTTGTTAATTTGGGCGAGCAGCGAGGCTTGTTAAAGACCCAAGAACGCAAAGGCCTAAAGGTTTTGGATTTGTTACCTTTGAGTCAGAAGCAGATGCTCGGAATGCATTGAGTTCCATTAACGGAAGGGTAATTCCTCAGCTTTGTTGGTTGATGTGTACACTTGCTTCTGTGTGTTTGTTGATGGTGTGTTTTGTGTATATTTTATGGAACATGCTTAATGATGATGCCTATCATCAGTTGCGGATGTAGCCTTCAGCAACGAGTGCAAGCACACCCGCTACTTCCGATTCAAATTTTTAGGTTTTTTTTAAAATATTATTTTTTTATTAAATCTATCCATTGTTAGATAGGAAACACATAGTTGTTATAGTGGTATCCCACTTTAAAAACTAGGTGTTCCTCTATTATTGACAATTCTTAGTCCGTCTTTCGCTTAGAAAACTATTTATCAATCATAGATTAAAGAAGGCAGATGTCTATTTCCAGCACTTCACAGCAAAACTATAAGTGAAAGATTTTTCCAAGCATCTTAAACAATTTAGCATGCTGTTTGACTTTGTGAACTTTTGCTATCATCCACCAGCGCAAATTGTTGCATTTGTTGGTCTAAAGGACTTGGTCCTGCAAATGCTTTCAGTTGGAGACAGGATAATCATTGCTCGAATGAAACTAATGATAAGGGTGGAAAATGTAAGTTGGGGGGCATTAATAGGCTTATAACGAAACATGCGAAGAATATAACCATCTAAAGAAATCTAACTTTCACTTGGAAGGGGTCTAGGTTCTAGAAAATCTATGGAGAAACGGTGTTTGGTCTAGGAACTGTATCTCATTATGTTCGACTATTGTTGCTGTTGTTTTTGGTGTTTATTTTATTTAATTGTTTTATGGATATATAATCTACCTTTGTTGAATTAGTTGTCTCATAAACTCTTTAGTGGAAATGAATAGTAGGAAGTCTCTTGTTGTTGTGAGTCTTCCTTCTGGTTTTGCAAGCAATATGGTAGAGCAAAATCTCTTGAAGTTCACTGGTCGCAGATGTTTCATTGCTTTAAGTAGTGGTAGTCGTTGAGCTATTGATAAGAAACTGGGAAGTTGTAGTAAAGACTAAAGAGGTTATAGAAGTTATCATTTTAAGGAAAATAAGGACTGCAAAATGATGAGCTATTATTTTGGAGATGAGAAATTTTCAGCAGGTAACAATCAAAACAAGAAAAAGAAGAAAGAAAAGTATACTCCTATTTTGTATAACATGTCAGCTGAAGAACAAAATTATGATATCGAACTCCAATCCTGCTGCTCTCCAAGATGACGAACTGTCTGTTTCCCCTCTATTAAGCCACTGCCACCAGTCACCCCCTGCGGTCTCTACCTTTCTTGACTTCTCATCTAATATTGGGACCTCATTGCCGCATCTGTCCTTCTATTACCCCTCTGCAGCTGAACTTTCTTTTTGTGTGTGTTTTTAGTGCAAAATGACAGTTGAGAACATTAAGTTGTTCAAAAGGGTAATCCCTAAACTTTGTGTACACAGATCAAAAAGAATGTTAGAATTTTTTATAAAACACGGGAAAGCACCCAGTAGACAGAAATAGAGATGAGTGAAAGCACAATTGCTGAGAGCAGTAGACATCCTATATCAATGATATGAATATGTTAGGAAAAAATTGGTGTTGTTCTTGAAAATTATTTGCGTACATGTCTACTTTTGGTGCAGCTCTGTGGTTTGTTTGTATATCTACTTTTGATGTATTTTTGGACTTCGTCGGCTCTCTAGTTTTGTAGCACTTCAACTGTAAATGAGCTAACAAACTTTGTTTTGTAATCTTTTTGCATCTTCTTGATGCCTTTAATGATATCCTGCTTACTTCATCAAAAAAAATGCATGAAGGGTTTTCCGTTGACTGGAGATGTCAATAATGCACCAAGCTTTGGCTTGAAAGCTAATTTGAGATTGTGGTGGTTGGTTATTTGTTTGTAACAATTATGCTTGATTTACTTATGTGCAGAGTCTTGATTTTTATGGTATTATTTCAAGAAAGTTTAAAGTAGATGGGTCTTTTTTGAGAGAGAGGGAGACTGTTTTGATTTGTTTTTGTTGTTCCAAATCTTGGCTTTGTGAGATTGTCGCGAAAAAAAGATAGTCAGTCAACTATAAGGACCAGGGAAAAGATTCTGCTCTGCTAAAATTAAGAAATCCTCAACAATCAGGGGGAATTTAAGTGGCATTATGTCTTTGCAGAAAGCTCCTTTACTTCCCCAAGGGAGTTTGTTTTCCAGCATTATAAAGTGTATTTAATTTTGTTTCATTTTTACCTCCTGGTGAAATATCGAATGTTGGCTGTCTGAAGAGTCTTGCTGCTTCCCGTTTTTCTGTTCTGTCATTGAAATGATCTACCGGTTGCAGATTGTTGATGGAAGACTGATTTTTGTGGAAGTTGCTGAGAATACACAAGCTACAGAAAACAAAACATCCCATAAATAACTTTCTCATAATTCAGCATATACATCATGGGAGAATTTTTGGCCATTGCTCAATCCTCCATAGTGCTGCCTCACTTTCACGTCCAAGCTTGGAGTCAAAGGCAGCATCTCTTTGCTCATAGTCAGCCATTGAGGTCACTTCGTTCATCTCTACATCTATTGAATATCCCTTGCACGGTGTACCCAAACTTGTCCACTCGATCAAAGCCTTCCTACTGGGGAGTCAAAGCCAGTGTTGTCTCTGATTCTACAATGCCAACCACCTTCACTGTTGATTCAGCAGGGCCAGGAATTGATATTCTGCCAGAGACAGGTGGTGGTGGTGGAGATGATTCTGGGAGTGCAAATGGCGGTGGTGGTGGTGGGGGAGATAATGGTGGCAATAATAATAATAATGATGGTGGCAACGAGGGGGAGTCAGATGAAGGCAAGGATCATAACAATAAAAAGAAAATGGCCCTTTGTATGTCCCAAAAATTGACATTGGGCTATGCTTTCTTGGTTGGAGCTGGTGGTTTTATGGGTTATCTGAAAAGTGGCAGCAAGTCCCTAATTGCAGGTGGAGTTTCTGCCTCCCTTTTGTACTCTGTTTATGTTATGCTTCCAACACAGCCTGTTTTGGCATCATCAATGGGTTTCGTCCTCTCGGCTGCACTTCTGGGAGTAATGGGATCTCGTTTTCTGAAGTCAAAGAAGGTTTTTCCAGCTGGTGTTGTCTCCTTTGTGTCTCTTGTTATGACTGGTGGTTATCTGCATGGAATATTGCGCACTGCACATTAGATCCCTGAACTAAGCTACTGATCAACATGGACAATCGTTAGTGTCTACTCTCTACTGTTGATTATAGTTTTCCTATCTGTTTGAATTTTGGATATTGCGAAGTTTCCTAAGCTGTCTGGCTCCTATAACTCTCTGGTGGACTCTAATGATGTATGAAGGCTTACTTTATTAGCCCTCTGTTTCTGTTGTCTATTCGTTCTGTTCTGGAGAAGATTTCCTTTATTATTCCTGCTTTTATGTGATTTTCCGAAAATATCTCGACCAGATTCATTGGTTAAGGCTAATTAGTCTTGGAGGTTCCAACAGTATCTCCAACAATAATCTGAATGTGTACAAGATGACACCATGGGGAGAATTTGTTCGCTGTTGAAAAAATTATGAGTCTGAGATATGTGGACATATCTGCTCAACGTCTAGAAATCGGAGACCGAAAACAACTACCAAGTGTTATTTCACTTTATCAGTGAACAATTTAGGAAGTGCTTTTTTATCTTTGCGATTCGAACAGAATCAGAAAGGTGAATATTTTTAGCAATAATAAGGGAAAGATGAAACATTGTAATCGAGTTGAACACAAGAGGGGGGTGAAGTGACCAATCTTGCAAGGGAGACTTAGCATACATCAAATCTAACAATTTAACCTTAAGAGTTGGTAACGATAAAATGAAAATACATATTGCTTGATCATTGATTATATAATAAATGCATGTGTAAAAGACACGTCTTGCTCCATTGGTTGGGTAGAATACTGAATGTGGATAAGCTTTTCTATCAGTGGGTTTGCTGAGGTGAATCTTAACATGCCTATGCCATAAACAATGTAACTTGATGTGCCCCTTGTTCCACTAATTCTTTTCTTCTTCTTTTTTTGGGTGAATAAAGAATTTTATTACCAATTGATCGTTATGTACATAAGGAGGAAAAAGAATAGCAGACTGTTGAACTTATTGTTCCAACAGCTGACGCTGAGCAAAACATCTACTACCTGCTACTACAAACTTCTACTACTACCCTAGTGCCAAGGATAAAAGTTCCAACATTTCCAATTTCCGAGCAAGCCTCGGCTTCATTGATCCCCTGCAACAAACTTCTTGAATGATTTGCTTTATAATAAGATCTGGTGCTGAATATTTATCTTGAAACACTCTTTGATTTCTTTCCCTCCAAACATAGGATATACTTGCTGCAAGTGCTATCCTATAAACTTCTGCTTCAGAGCTTCTCCCCTTTGCATGTTCTTGTGGCCACTTTAATTCATCCGACCAATCCATGGCCTTCCTGTTTACTCCTTGCCAGAACAAGATTTTATTCCAGATATAAGCAGCATAGTCACATTGAAAAAATAAGTGTGAAATACTCTTGATCCCACTATTGCATAGCGGGCAAGATTGTGCTACATCCATTCCCCAATGAAGTAATCTGTGTCTGGTAAGTATTCTCCCATGTGCCACCAACCTCAATATGAATACCCATTTAGGGGCTCCTAGCTTCCTCCAAGAAACCTTAGGGGTACAGTTGTTTAATAGAGAAGATTGTCAAGGACTCAAATTAAGTTGCACCCATTCCTATTTGTTCAACATATCTTCTGGCCTTTAGTATTTTTTGAACCACCCATGATGCTAGTCTTGGTGATATATCCCACACATGTCTGTCCTTTATGTAGTAACTGTGAATCCATTTTACCCACAAGCTATCTTTTTTAGTTCATAATCTCCATAAAAGCTTGCATATTGCAGCTTTATTCCAACATGCAACATCTAAAATTTTTAGCCCTCCAGCAACTTGTGGGTAGCAAACTCTATCCCATGCTAGTAATGCCTTTTTTGATGCCTCCACCCCACCTGACCACAAGAATTTTCTATAAGTTGCTTCAATAAATTTGACAATCTTTGTAGGTAGCACAAATATTTGTGACCAAAATACTTGAATGGAAAACAACACATTTCTTTAGCAATTGAACTCTCCCTGCATAGGATAATAATTTTGATGTCCAACAGTGGATCTTTCCTATCCATTTTTCTAGCGGTGGTTGGCACTGGATCACTGAGAGACGTTTAGTGCTTAGAGGCACCCCCAAATATCTAATTGGCAACTCACCTTTTGCAAAATCAGTTACTTCTATAATATGTTGTTGCACTGCCTGCCCCACGCCTCCAAAATATATAGAACTTTTTTCTCTATTGGCAACAAGTCCTGAAGCTAAGGGAAACTCCTGGAAGCATTCAAATAGCATATGAACAGACTTTACATCACCTCTGGAGAAAAGAAGCAAATAATCTGCAAATCCCAATTGAATAATTTTCATTTTCTCACATTTTGGGTGGTAATTGAGGTCAGGTTCATGTCCCAGACTCTTCAAAATTCTACTAAAGTATTCCATCACTAATACAAATAGGAATGGAGATAATGGGGCCCCCCTGTCTTAATCCTTTCTTTGCACCAAAAGCCTCTGATGGTTGTCCATTGATTTGAACAGAATATGACACAGTTTTTAGGCAGACCATGATCCAATGAGTGAATGAGAAGGAAAGTTTAGCCCATTCATAACATGCTCTAGGAATACCCATTCTACCGAATCATGTGCCTTTTGCATGTCTACTTTCAACATACATTTTGGAGAAATACCTTTTCTACCTTATCCTTTTACTAACTCGTGGCTGAGTATGATATCATCGGATATTAATCTTCCCGGGACAAAAGTTGATTGGCTCCCATCTACCAAACTATCCATCGCTGTTTGCATTCTCTTTGTGATTATCTTGGATATTATCTTATATAGCACAGAGTAGCATGATGCTTAACTGAAGAAGGGTTCTTGACTTTTGGAATTAGAGTAACTAGTGTGCAGTTAATTGGCCTATACAATCTCCCGGAATCAAAGAAATTCAAGATTGCTTCATTTACCTCTCCTCCAATGATAGGCCAAGCTTTTCTGAAAAAGCAAGCATTGAATCCATCTATACCTAGTGCCTTCATCTCATCAATGTCCATCATTGCCCTATATATTTCCTCTTTTGTGACAGGAGTGATCAACTGGAGCTGTTGTGTTCTGATGAGTCTAGGTCCCAGTAAAAAAACTGATTCCTACTCAGCTGGCAATTGATATGCTGCAGTCCAAAGTAGCTGCTTGTAAAAGCTTAGTATCTCCGTCTTTATACCTTCTTCAGATTGTATCAGTCCTCCATTTGTATTCACCAGGCTCCTAATCTGATTAATTGAGCTTTTGTTCTTCATGCAAGCAAAAAATTAAGCACTGTTAGAATCCCCAAGCTTCAGCCATTTCACTCTTTTCTGTTTGGCAATCATCTCGCTTATCATCACCCATTTTTCCAGGTCTGTCTTTAGAGTTTTCTCTCTATCAAACAGATTAGGCTCGTGACCAGGATTTCTCATTATCTCTTGTACTTCTTGTGAGCTACTTCTGATGGTATTGATTCTTCTATCTGCAGCAGCATACTCCTCTCTGTTGAGGTTCTTCATTTCATGTTTCACATTCTTTAACTTCTGCCATACACCTTTTAAGTAGCCCCCATTCACTGGTTTCCTCCATCCTCTCGCAACTCTATTCAGGAAATGGCTATGAAGAGTTAAGTGGTTTAAAAATTCGAAAGGTCTAATTCTTCTCAGATCTTCAAAGATGATACAAAGGGGAGAGTGATCAGAAAAAAAGAGGATCAAGTACTACAACTTCTAGGTTAGGCATGGTGCTCATCCATTCCACATTTACAATAGCTCTATCAATCCTACTATAGATTTGATTGTTAGTCCAAGTGTATTGTCTACCCACTGTCCTCATTTCTGTCAATCCCGTGTCTTCTAGGAACTCGTTAAAATCTCTAGTCTCCTGTTCTTGCACTTCATTACCATTCAATCGATCATCTGCATAAAGAATAGCATTATAGTCGCCCATCAGAAGCCATGGTCCTTGTTGCAGGTTTCCCACTTCCTTCAATTCTGTCCACAGACTTCTTCTGTCCCCAACTGTGTGCAACCCATAGATGGCAGTAAAGTAAAACTCTGTATTCTGAAATTTTACCTGCCCATGAATGTATTGACTGTCCATGCTAATAAGAGTATACTCAATAACATTGTGATCTCACTGTACCCATATCCTTCCTCTGTTATTTGTGTTGTAATTAGCTTGCCAACTCCAGCTTGGTACAATCTTCTTTATTATTTTTCTGCATTTTTCTCCAATACTTTATGCTCCACTATAGCTATTATACTAACTCTACTACTTTGTATAAACGCCTTCAACTCCTTATGTTTAAACAACTTATTCATACCCCTAACATTCCAAGTTATCAACTTCATTTCAAAATGGGAGGGGTTTCATTACAAGACACACCAACATCATCACTACTTTGTCCTCTTGCACTAGTACTGCCAGGTTCATTGTGCATACTCAGACTCCCGTGTTCATTTAATGGGCTAAAACCGCATCATACCTTGTGCTAGATTTGTAACCGGCTTCTCTTGTGGTTTCTCCAATCATACTTGCTGCTTCAAAAAGATGAATCCTTTGGTCCTTGGCTTTGCAATCACATCAGAATTCAGGGAGCTCAATCCAAGTCTAGTTTGGAAATGGTGAGGGAACCT